ATTTTCTTCATTAGACTTCCAGACATACCTGCACTTTTGTTGTGTTTGTTTTTGGTTAGATTATGTCTTTATCGCACGTGTTGGAGCACGAGTAGCAAATGTTGTGTTGCATTGTGCATTGAGTGGATTTCCAATTTTCCGTCCGGACATCTGTGCATGCAAACACGCTGTGAAAATTGTATATTCGCGGCTGGCTGGCAAAAACGAAGCAGGGAATTTGTAACCATCTTGAATTTACTATTTACTATCATATTTCGGTGCACGAAACGTCGCATTGGAAGTCAACTTCGAAGATGTAGTCAATAAACATGCAATTTCAATGTAAATCATTGCGCATCGTAAAATCGCAACGTATAACGTCCGCCATCGAGCAAATGCGACCAGACGTACCGAGACGTCGTTTGTCAAAATATTTTTTTACATTTCATCCTCGACAACTCTGTACATGATGTGTATTACAGGTTGTTTCTTGTACGCGGCGCAAATCAAGCGGAAAATTAAGCCAAATCTATTTGTTTCGTGAAATGTCTTTGCGCAGAGGATTATATCGGATGGACCAAATCCATTCTGCCGATGGATGCATTCGTGCAATTTCGCACGCGACGTTAGGAAACTGTTGAACGTTTCCATATCGGTCGCCAGTCGCAACTGAAGCCGCGAAAGTAACGATAACGAAACTAGCAAACAATGCCAGTTGGATCACGTGAGACTATTGAAACTGTCGCCGACTGCTGCGTCTGCATTTCCCGCCCGACAATCTTAACAAACTTGACAAACTTGAATGAAAAGCGCACATCGCACATATTCGAACCTGGGAAGCACTTCCCAGTTAAACCCGTCTGGCATATTGGTGCACATGACGAGTATATATCTACGTTTATGACATTATCCACAAATGTTGCACTAGAGCGCATCAATAATAAATCGGCGCGTAAAAAGTTGTTGCGCGCACGCGAAAGCCTCAAAATTTCCCCGATGACAGAATGACAGAATAACGGGACGACGAAACGATCGGCACGATCGAAGGAAAAAGTGAACACGTATGTTCTTGATGATGCCATCAAATCGTGCACTCGTGCGGCATTACCGCATGTAGTACATGCTGTTGGGGGGCGAAATCGCAAGACCGTCGTACACCAGTTAGCAGGCGAAACCTGATAATACTAAAACTAAAACGCTCCGCACCGAATGGCGGGTGGAGAAACGATTTGAGCAAAAAACCGCACGCAAAAACGTTGAAAAAAAGATAAAGTAAAACGGGGGCGGTCGTCGGGATGAAAAGACGGCGAGTTCGTGTTTACAGCCGTATGTCCTACCTTTTAAATTGTGTAAAACACGTGAAATACAGAAATAAGCAAGCGGTTAAAGGAACACGTAGTGCTGTATCGTGTTTACGCGTTTTCTACCTTTCGGTGCTTTTTGAGGTTTCCGCGCGCTGCGTATACATTCGTTACGTGATTTTATTTGCGTTCTTGTAGCGCGCACTGCAAAAAAAAAACACACATTTTTAAGCTTTAATAGAAATTCAAGCTTGTGCAGCTTTTTGAATAAATTGCTACACGCTATGTTTTTGCGTCCGCTTCATTTAAAATTAGCGCAAAGTCTTCACTTTGGATTAATTCTTTTGCGCGCGCATTAGAGCCTAATAATATTATTTTGATGAACTTGCACTTGGCGTGCCAGTCGGGCATGAGAAATCGCGCGCGCGTTATTAACACGGTATACACAAACCCCGGGCTGAAAAGAAAGTTAATCGGTAAAATCCCGACGCGCTTGCATTCACCTCCGCGCCGGGTAAATAAATTCATAAATTATTCATAATTCTCGCTCGCTGCGTCACAAATCATCCTTTTTGCTTGTCAGTTTTTTTCTTCTCTGGCGCTTCTTTGCGCATTCCACTTCTCTATCTAGCAATATCAAAAATTTGCTAAGCGAGGGCTAAAAGTACAATGAGGCACACCAGACGTCGAAATGCGGAATCGCGCCGATATCGAGAAGCAGGTGATATTGTCGCAAAAAAATTGCGCTGGCAGATTTTCTGTGTCTGTTCGATGCTAGTCGCGGCGGCGCTTCACGGCTTCCCATTGTTAATTTTCCGGCATCCTGTTCGCCGGCGTATTCCAATCTTCAACATCGCGCTCATTCGCGTTCGCAGTGTTCACATTTTTCACCTCATAGACTCCTATCGAGTTTTCCTCCTTTTTGGCGTGTGGTATTCGCTGCACTTTGCCATCGTGGTCGTTTTTGCGTTAATATACGAGCGGATCGCGGCTTCCCATTCTTCGTTTTATTTTGGCGACGCGCGCTATTGACCTATTGCGATAGGCACGGCGAGGCGAAGGAAATGAGGAATGGATTCGCGAGCGTCGAGCGCCGGCGACGGAAGCGGTAGAATTGCGGAAATAAAAACAGACGAGCCCCGCTATTGAATATCTGGACGCGTGGAAAAGAAATGTCTCTCTGAAGATACGATACACTCCTATAGAATCGTGGAGTGCGTGATAAGCAAGATTTTCCGATTTTTAAACCCTGTGAAACATCAGGTGTTGATACAAATAGAATGAAAGAACAGAAAAGGTCATCAAAAGAAAACGCAGATTTTGCAATTTTATTTCGCTGTGGACGCGCGAGCGGACGATTTATGACATCAGATAGAAAAACTACACAACAATGCCGGGAGGTGATTCTTCAAAATAATTACGCTGATCAACGCCGAATGTGCAGTTTAAATGCTTTGTAATGTGAAATAATATATCACAAAACATTATATCAGCCGCGCCGGGGACGAAAGCAAAATCCCAAACTCAAATACGCGCGCCCCGGCTCGCGTTATAGCAAAATATCCATTTCGCGTGATTGCGCCCCTATTTGTAAACTACCACGGCAATATATGACAAATGCGCGCTCATCCAGCTTGCGCGCACACCGGCCCAAAGTGAGTGCTCAACGTTCTGCGAACGTTCGGCGTTTGCCCGAACGGCCGCATCGCTTTAATCTCTTTAGTAGTTTTATTCGCTTTCATCGTTTTATTCCCGGCGCAGTCCGCTAACAATCAAACGTTTGCAATTAGCATTCCTGATTAAATCACGCATTTTTTCATCAATTGCACGCTCAAGGCCGGCAAATTGGTGGCAAATGAGTCAAATTGCCACTATGGTTCTCATAGTTTAGCATTTAACCAAGTTTCACTTTTGAAAATCATTTTTTGTAAATTGTGAGTGAAGTAATACAGTTTTCTATAAAATATCAATCAATTTGACTTACAAAAGTAGGTCACTTTTGGGTCTTCTAGGATGTACAATAACCGCGCGTGCTTCGAGATGCAAAATAGCATTCGAAGGGATACAAATCGAAATTTATGAATAATATATACGACACCTTGGCTCAGTGTTATTAAATTTACGTTAATGCGTGTACATTTCGCGCCCGAACCCGAAGGTGCGTCCGGGAAATACAGGTGGGCGACAGCTGGAAATGAGGGATACGCGGCGCGCCGGCGAAATGAGGGATTGATACCGGGGATTCATTGCAATTTGATTCGTTTATATGGCGTTTGCGTCCCTGCTACAGCACAACTCGTCGTACGCTGCCAGCATTGTCAAATGGTTAGGGTAATAGGTGTTGGCCGGGATTGCGCCCCGCAGGTACACCGATGGAAAATTGCCGCGTCGGCAATAACACCAATTTCATCAATTTTTAATCTCGCCCACATTCTCTACTCGGTGGAATATTAATGCGCTTGCCAGTTTGCAAAGCTTCCAAACGCGGAATTATGTTGAACGAGTGAAGGGACATGCCGCCGACGAAGCGTCAATTAATTATTGATAATTATAATATTGACAGAGGGCGCATATTTCGCGCATAGTTCTGCGGTTACATCCAGCACACGACACAATCTAGTCCTAGAATTTGCCGAGGGATGAATGACTGTAATTGCGCACAATCTCAATTCGTATTTTTAGCTCGGCGTGTTTGTATGACGCTCCAGATCAATCATGATCTGCTACATAACAGTGCTTGCTTGCAAGCCGTGCTCATTAGCTGTAAACCCATCGAAATTACCACACGCACACATTGACACACCCGAACATGGGTATTTATCGTACGTGTTTGATTTGAGTTGGATCTGATGACACGATCCGGTAAACAGGGCCCAGTTTGCCTCGCAATTTTGGTCATTATTTGGTTGTTATTTGCGTACGCATCGCGCTAATATTCGCCCTCGGCCAGCGATCGGATTTTAAATTTGTGCGTCGATCGCGCTGCAAATTAAACCGGCACCAGTCGTCGGCACTTTGGCTTGTGCTAAGTCGCGCGTGTGCGAAACTTTGTTCGTGATTGTTGCACGCGGCAAGAAACATCTGTTGTACAAATTCGATCAATTCCGTTCGGCGTTGGTCACTTACACTTGCGGAAACAACTACAATAGTTGCGAAAGTGTTTTCGAATGTTGCGCCGGCAATTCTTTTAATTAAAACTCTTGCCAAGTATTCCAAATCTTTTCGCATCTTTGCTACTGTGTTCTGCTCGGCGGCAAGTTAACACTTTCATTTCTTCTCGGGCTCCGCCGATGAACACTATCGTGCCTCGCTTTGTATTATAATTTGTTCCCTGCTTTTCATTATATTTCCCAACCGGTCGCGCACTTTATCGTCGTCCGCGCTTTACTCGGCGCGTTTATTTCGCAACTTTAAAGTTGCTCGCGCCCAGCTAACCGAACGCCGTGTAGCGAGTATAAATAAACTCAAAATAAGAATGAACTTCTTCGAGTAAATGTACTGTAGTAAAAGTGCGATTAGTTGCGAGCCGGGCGCGCTCTTGCCGAACGTGCTTCAGGCGCGAGATTGGGAAATTGATAATGGGAATTTGCTCATTAAGCTTTTCCGGGCCATCAAATTGACGAACAAACGCGCGCACCGTCGGAATCAATGATTGAGTGAATTTAGCTTTCATGCTGTAAATTGTTGCTTATTGCTCATGGACTATATTATGTTCACATGTTGCATTCTATGTTTTTGTGGCTCGCTTCAAATTTTCCGGAATTTATTAAATTTTTATTATGAATTTAAAACGTTTTATCGCTAAAATTTGTAGTGTTTCTCATGCATTTTCATTTTCAAAATCAATAAATATTCCAAACTGGTGGATTATTTGGAAATGGAATTCAAATTTACATTTGCAGTTTCTTCAAAGGTTTTATGTTGAAATTACCAACGTCATAGACCATCGACGTGAATTCACTCATGGGTGGTGGGTTGTCAACACTGCTGTTATCAATGAACTCCTGCAGTAAGTCAATCAGACTATCAGTGACGTTTTCCGCTTTAACATAATCCATAATTTCACGCGCGTAGGCTGAATATTGACACTCCTCTTTGGCGGCTTCGAGTTGTTTCAGTAACTCTTCATCGCTGAAGCGCTTTTCCTTCACGTTGCGATACAGCGTTGACAGTGACAGCGCACAGGCGACTTTTCGCTTCTGTTCTTCCTTATCCAGTCGGACGAATTGCGATGGTGATAGCGATAATAGTTGCTCAGCATAACGATCGTGTTCTGGACTACCCTTCATTACTTCCAGTCTTCCGTTGAGGATGTCCACGAACTTATTGCGTTCCTCCGTGGTCCAACTTAATTTGGATAGGGTACATGGACGCAATTTTCGTCTTGCTCTGTATTCTTGATAGCCAATACTCATATCCGAATCATGTAGCCCATCTAAGAAAGGTCATAGAATTGAATAATCGACAATTGTAAAAAGATGGAATTTTCTCTCACCTCGATGTTCGGTTTTGAATTGGATTGAGTTAGGGCATGCATAGTTTCTAACAGCTCTTTCGTACTTGCTGGATTCAAGCATCAAATAGAATAAGATTGTGACCATCAGCAGTCCCAAGGCAATCTCTACACATTGCCACATAGAAATAATTTCGAGATCGAAAACGTGCAGAAGGTATTTTTTAGCCAAAAGCAAGTGAGCCGACCATGTATTCATCTTGTACTGTAAATTTCAATTAAACAACACGTATTGAATGCAATTGTATGTTAAAACAAATTTAAAAAGGTTTAGGTGTGATTTAATTTAGAAAATTGTTTGAACTGAAAAATTGATGATTTTCTGTTTTGATGTTTCAATGACTACTGCGATATTTATTCATTTCTAAAAACTTTTGACATATTTTGACATGTTCTGTCATTCCAATAGCATGCATTTTTAATTCCCTTGATTTATATGTATCCTAGATACACAATCAACGAGTATTAAAATGATTGTTATTCTATGGCTAGTGTCACCAAGATAAACGCGGCATTTACTAATAATTTATGACCGTTTTCCCCTGGAGGCGTCTAGGTTATGTGTATACACAATTTGTACTTCTTGGATTTGTTAAGAAACACCCAACTGTAATGAAAGATGGAAACTTGAGAACTGAGGGCCGGCGGCGTTCGCAAGTCATGCGGCATTGTGTCGCTGAAGCCCTTCAAGCTTTGTTTCGCACTGTCGGCTGATAAATGCCTCAATGTAAATACGTGTCCATGTCCGCCGCGCGCGTGCTGGTCGAAGAGCAGAAAATATTTTGCGCTTCGTCGATCCACGCACAAATTAATAATCATCGAATGTTGTGTATCGTATTATTGACGTTTGACAAGCCATTAATCATGCAGGAGTTTTGAAAACCGCTTCACAAAAGCGGAATTTATCCACTTGCACGCCTCGCGCTTAACATGTAATCATTTCTCAAGCTGTTTTTTTCTTTTTCAAATTTAATTACACCGCGCGCGCGCGTCGACATTTTTTGTTGTGCTTTTCTGCGCGTCAGATAATTTCAAAAGAGCGTGGAAAACTTGTGCTGCTCCAGCTGTAAAATGGCTGTGAAAATAAATTCCGGGAAAAGAGTATCGGTTACGCCGGCGTGCGCAAAACGAGCGTCGCTTGTTTTCTTGCTTCTTAGCTTTCAATTTGAAAATCGATAAGTATGCAATAGGAAATTACAACAAGGACAATGCCCCGATGTGGCATCGTCCCGTACACAAGCGTATTCTCCGGCCGGTGTAACCGTTTAATATCGCGCGAGCGAAGCATGAATATGTTTGTGGCGGTGGAGGCGGCGAGTGAAAACTCTCCGGCGGGTACGGACGCTCTTCCACTTCGCCACCTTACCAATAACGTGCCTGTGCGCGTATTTGCAATAAATATTACTTCGGGTACCCAGGAGCGACGGATCCCCGATCGAACACAATCGCCGTCGCATTCGAATATTAACATAAATATTTTCCGAGCTCTCCGAGCAGCGCCACTTGCTTTTCACACTTGAAATTGCGATCTAATTTACAACCGGCGTGGAAATTGAAGTTTTAAATGCGTCCACAATCGACGTTCACACCGTGATATACATCGGGCACACTTTACGAGCGATTTTCCAAACGAATTGAAATTGAAATGTACAATTTCTTCGAAGACATCAAAGATCCAAAAGACAGTGAGTAATTATTAGGGTGCGTGCATTACGCAGGGGTCTTCAAGTTAATTACACACGCACTCAAATAATGTCGCGCACAAACAGACAAATATTTGTGTACTTATATTTACGTTACTTTAGAAATATTACTTTTCGTATTTGCTGCAAGCTTAAAGCGCGTTTACCGACGTAAATACTGTAATCGACAAACAAGCGCAAGGTAAATACTGTTCAGAGGGGAATATCCAGCACACGACATTCAAAGATATATCAAACTTGCTGTACTGATACTTTTCTATATGAAAAATAAAAATCACATCTGCGATGTAATAAATATCTAATCTTTAATACAGGCGTAAGCGGGTGGGATGGTAGTCGATCGCTCACTTGTTAGTAGGTAGTTAAATGCACTCCGGGTGAAATCTGAGCGCGCGCGGAAGCGCAGAAGTTGGCGTGCGGAGATTGGGGCAAAGAGCCGCTCTTAGTTCGGCTCTCGTGAAGTGTTGGCATTAGAAGCTCTAATAACGCATCGCATTTGATATCCGATTCTTGCGTGCGGGGGCGGCAGATGACGGCAAACAAAATTGGCGCACGTCGGGTGCAGAACGACGCGCGCATCTACATCGGCCTCGAAGACAATGCATTACGACGTGTGATATTGAATTTTACACCTTTTCCAGATCACGCTCATTCTGCACATAAATTCACTTAATTTCAACGCTTTTAACAGTATTTTCGCACCGATGAAATTGCTCTGTTTGCTTGTGTTTGCCTCTTTTTTTTATTCGGGCGGCGTGAATGCGAATATTTTCGCTTTGAATTTTTGTTTTAATTTGTTTGCCCCTGGGATGTTTTTATTTTCGCATTTTGCGCGTCGACGAATCCGCTTCGGACCTAATTTCAATCTAATTTCAATCCCAATCGTCTACTACTAGAATGTAATAGAGATTTTATGATTCGAGCTGTTCGATCGCCGTGATTTAGATGATGTACGGTTTTGCCGGACGCTCACCCGGTTTGTTTTTCATTCGGTTCACGAAAGAAGCGGGGGCGAATTGACAGAATCGGGAAAATTGTAATTTGAGCTTAAGCTCAAGCTCCGCACCGCACGCTTGATAAACTCAATGCATTGCTTTCGATCTATACCTACATACTGCATGTTGCAAACGTGTTGGTACAATCACCAGCGTAGTGATGTGTTGACAAAGTTAAAAAAATGCAAAAGTCAATCAGAAAGTTTCTGTTGAGTTTTTCGTTTCCAATTAGCAAGCTCACCGTGCCCGTGGTTTGCCTCGCTGTGTAAAATCTCCGATTTTCGTAACATGCTGAATGCACACGCAGCCGAATCGACGTCTACATTTACATCCTGCGAGCGCATTACGAATGTTGCTAAAGCGTTCGCTGCTCCTGCCGCATATCCGCAACCTAAATAGAACGATTCGATACATATGTATAACATGCTCAGGGGCGGCCCGCATAAGATGCTGAACATGTAGATGTATACAAAACCAGATCGGATTTCCACATTTTTTCACCTTCGGCGCGCAACCTCCGCGTTCGGCGGCCTTTTTCGAAAAACGCTCCGCGCACATTTTCCGCCTATTCAAAAACGAATTTATTTTGCGCCGCCGTCGCCGCACATTCGCTTTCTTTTCGTCGCCCGCCAGGTTTTTCTTCTTACTTCGTTTTTTTTGTGCCTCGCTTGCGATCTTCGCGACGATAGCGAGGTGCGCAGTATGTGCTACGTACGTGTGTACATTTCGCGGCGCTTTTCGCATTGTGCGACGCTTTCGAGTTGTGCGCGTCAAGCGCAGATTTCCTCGGGCAGTGCGCATTCAGCAGACATAAGTTTTCATCAAAGTGACGAGAAACTATTGGCACATCAGGCCGTCCAAGTTTTAAAAATATCATGGCTTTTGTGCACGCGAGCATATATTTCACGGCGGGGAATATTGAGGGATGGAAATTGGCGGACGATTTGCACTATTGAAACTGCCTCTTAGTGAAAGCGAAGCGTGAAATAATTTTTCTCCGCGCCGTGCTTTTAGAGGCTTGTTGCCACTCAAACAGATACGCTGCCTGAAAGAACACGAAACGAGCGCGCTAAGAAATATGTGTAACCTTCGCACGGTGGATATCATAAAGTATGTGTGATGTTTTAAGGGGGTTGGAAAGGGTGCTCTTTGAAATATCTACTTCGCGTACTACGTACGCACACGATATGGTTTTATTTATTTTTTTCCACGCTCGTTTTATTTGTTTTCTTGCGCAACTTTTATCTCGCGCAAGTAAATGGAAAACATATTTTTTTCGTTTCGCTTTGCGTCTATTTTCGTGTATATGCAAGGGATGAATGTTTCGTTTTTGTGGATTTCTTTTGTAACTGTTCAATTTTTATAATTGGTTAACGCTCGAGATTACCTCAGCGTTTTTCGCGTGTGCTTTTTTTGCCAGGCGTGGGTCTTGACTAGGTTTTAACTAATTCAGGCCGGCGTTTTTTGCTAATTTCGTGTGTCTAACGTCTCCACGTCCACTCACGCCGCCGCCGACGCCGTCGCCTATCTCGGCGCTCGCACGAGGAAACCTAACGAGACGATGCGCAACGAACAAAGAGTAAATTAACGGAAATTCTTTATTGTTTTTGTGCTTCCCGCCGTCTTCGCCGGGTGACAGGCGCAGAGGGGCGGCGGCGACGGTCGCGCTTCATTTGTTATCCGCGCAGTTACTCAAAGCACTCGACTGGCATTTGTCATTATCCGTGCGTCTGTCTTCGGTATTTTTTTAGCTCGTTTGGCTCGCATTTTTTTCTCTGCTCGTCTGTCTAGCGCGCTACGACACGATCGTTTTCGCTGCGAGCTTTATTTATTAAATGTGCGGCGTTTGTTTGGCGGATTCGATGCAAATATTTGACCTCGTTCTTCCGTCCCGGAGAAATAAAATAGAATTTAATTAGGACATTCCATATTTCAGCCGGAATAGTGCAACGTTGGCGAAAACTTTTCGTCGATCCGGCAATTGCAAGTTGCTTTAATATTATCTCATCTAATCAAACGCGCCGCGCTGCATTGCCATGAATAAATTAAATGTCCGTTTGAAGCCGAGCCGCAAAATCAACATTCAACTTTGGGCCGGCTTTTGGAACAACGAAAGCGAAAACTAATAATCGGCTCTGGGCGCGATTTTCCGCGAAAATATCAATCCTGCTCTGTTTGTTGGAATGCAATATGTATTGTTTAACGTGCCCGAAAAAGAATTTGAGCAAACATCTGCCCAAAACAAGACAAAATTGCGTCGTTTGTTCCTCCGACTTAAATTTTCATTTCTCATTGTTGCCCCAGATATTCAAATAAGAATTTGCGGCGAGAAGAAAATGCACAGCCATCAAAAGACCGAAGAGCAAAAAGCACATTCGAACGAATGAAGCAAGAAATTGCATGCATATTTATGTTATTTTTAAATTTCCTTTGTTCTGCGCTTTGTCAGGAGATCAGGATTTTATTCCCATCCGCTCGCTTGTCAGTTTAGAGTCTGCTGGATTTCGGAAAGAACTTTAAATCTTGCGTTTAATGAAATTTATATAACCAAATCTACTTGCGTTTAACCCACGAAAAAAAAATTGTTACTCCATAACCGAATACGGATTTATGGAGCTTAAGCTACAAAATGCTTTATTGTATAACACGAGAAGAAACAGGACTATAACAAATTGTTTTTCAACTTCCGATTTTGAAAAAAAACACACACAATTTTTAAATGAATTAATGGTTTGATGTAAAGTTAAACCTTTCTCGTCATAAATTTCCGCACGGTGTAAACTGTAAATTACACGCTTCTTCCTTTACTCTTCAATCTCGACGCGAATTCAATGCGCCAGTTGTAAATTATGATGTTGCATCGCATTAGAAATGCGCGCAACAACTCTGTTGCGTCGCTCCGGCGGGAAAAGCCAAAATAGAGCTGAATAGAAAATAGATTATCCGCGCGCGGCGGTCGGGCCGCCATCATATTTCATTATTATCGCCGCTCGCCGACGCTCTGAGCAAACAATTCGTTAACAGTTTGCACTTTACACTTTGGCATTATTAGGACGTCACACGTGACGGCGCGTTGTCATCGCGGGCGGCAAATTAAAGCGCCGCCACGCAGGATGGCATCCATTCAACGCTCCACCGCGGAACATCAGAATGTCGCGAAATTAGAGCCGGCTGGACGCTGCCAGCATTAGGATCTGGATATAGTCGCAGCCGGAATGAATGAATTTCTATAAAATAAAGGCTGCGTGTTATGACAGTTTAATGTGCAGAGACGACGGCCGACCGCGGACACGCAATTCGAAAAGGTCACGGCGAATTCCTTCTTTATTCATGGCGTAATCTAACCACGGACGTTTCTATTACACGTTGTACATCAATGCCCGGGACTCCACGCGATTGTGCCGACGGGTTATTATTATAAATGCTAATTCGGAACAACATTGAGACAGATAACGCACAACACAACATTGTCTACACTTTAACCCTGAAAGATAAATGCTAATTTATAACATGCCAAAGCCAGGCGACCGTTTTTCTTTGCGTGGATATTTCATAAAAACATAGCAATTTAATAAAAAAATAGCGACGCAATCCATAAATAAAAACAAAACCAATGCTCTGTGTGCCAGCTGGTGAAGAATAAGAACACACCACACAGGAAAAAATCGGCGAGTAACCAGAGAAAGCTCAAAAGAGCGAATGAATGATCGATGACTGACATATAGAATCGGATTTGTTGGATTTCACGGATTTCTGTTTAGTTTTTTCGCCGGTGCGCACCGTTTCATCTTTTCATCTTTACATGTTTTGCCGTATTTTCAATATTTCGCTGGATTTACAGATTTGCCATTTACGGATGTTCTTACGTGTATATTTTTCTTTCCTCCTTCGTACGGTGACGACTTGCGGACGCTGAAACAAAACAAAGCGCGCCGTTTCGCAACATCTGCGAGGTGATTTCTCATACTTTGATTAATACAATCTTGTATAGCCCTTTATCCTGTCAAAAGTTTCCCGCATCTGATTTTAATATATAATTAAAATGTTACTACACCGAGCGCAAAAAAAGGCACAAGCAATTCTAATTAATTTTTGAAACTTTACGCTCAATTTCGTCCGATCTTGGAAACTTTTCTTCCACCGCCTAAAGGATTAAGTGAAACAGCCGACATAACGTTGGTTGTTAATGATAAATGAAACGTCTGCGAGGATGTCACAATGAAAGTCGTTGCGCCTTTACTCCCTGCCATCTTTTCAATCAAGTAAACCATTATCCGGTAACACTCGCCGCTCTTGTTCCGGCTGCGCTGTGCTTTAGCTTTAATTATTGTTGCGCTCGCTATAATCGTAATGAGAGTCGTCAGAGTGATAATAATTAATTACCACGTGTTTACAAACCGAGCGATAGCATCAAAATGCCTATAGCCTAGTTAAAAATTGACTAAACGTCTTTAGCATGAAGACATGATTGCGCAATTAAATCAACATACCAATATTACAAATGCTTTCAACAAAACATCAATTCCTCGGGAATGATGTTGATAATCGTAAAATATAACGGGTTATAAATGAATACTAGGCTGTTAAGTTTTGACGGCGGTTCAACACTATCTCGGCGTAAAACATTTCCGTCTCGGCCTGTAAAACGTCGAAACGACCGACTTAAAGCGCCAACTAATGGACAAAATGTAAAGATACGCCGCTTTCCAAGATCGGTCACGATATGCCGCCGTCCTGCGCCGTTCAATCTGCGTTGACGGGCTGGTGTCTCCGCAGCATCCGAATAAGAAGATTTCCCAGCGGGACGAAGACCGCCGCAGCCGGCCCGCCACGCAAGCGGCAGTCGAGTAATTGGAAGCAAATGAGCCCGATTAATTTTCATACCTCGTCTAATTAGCAATTAACAAAGAAGCGCGCCGTGTCGCGGCTTTCATAACACGCTTTTTGCGAATGCCATTTCGCAGCGACAATCTGTTTAACGAGATTCGGAGACAAATCTGACTGCAATTCAAGGCAAAATTCAACTCAATCAAAGTTTTAAAAGTTGTAGGGCAAGCGGGACGAATCAGCGAATGCTAACGGCGTAGATATATTTTGTTTATCTATCACAATAGGTAACAATTCGTGCGGCGTGCGCACGGCACTCAAGAGTTAAATATAAATAATAGATGCGTCGAACGAGCGGGCCGGTTTGCCAACCGGGGAACAAGCAGGAAACTAAAAATTAATTCATGCGAAGCACGTATTTTATTGCGCGCAACTTTGTTCAACAAATTAAACATTCTGCGAGGGGCCGGTAAAGTTTCCTCGGTGCTGGATGTTTTACGCCCTTCTTATGCATCTTGTTTATTCTTTTAATGTATCTAGTTAGTACTTTATTTGCCAATTTAGTGTCCCATTGTGGCTGTTTGCTGCTCATGCGGTCTCCTTGTGCGCGCACACTGTTTGATTGTTGCACTTGTGTCGCATTGCGCATTCTGCAATAAAACCGCAAATCGAATTGAGCAAAACTACATCTTTGTAATGAAAGTTGATTACAAAAACGGCTGCAATTGTTTACTTGTTGCAATTGCGAAAAATATCATTTAACTGTCTAGACGATGTTGAGAATTTTGTTCTCACTCTGCGGGGCCAAGGGAGTTATTTCATACACTTAATATGCAATGGACTATTTCTGCAAGACAATTTAAATAATTCTCACATGAGTGCGTTATGCATCCGCTCCTTGAGTACGAATATTCTTAAAGGAGCGGAACGGTAACGTTAGGAAGAAAATTCAATCTGGGCCCTTTCTGTCTCACAAGCGGAAAGCGTCCATGATTTTATCAACACTGGAGATCAAAGAGCTTTCCAATATTTTCCAATAAACGAGACGTATCATTGTATCATTGAACAATAACACGCCGTTTTGTTCTCAAGTTTTTGTTTGCTTTGATTGCTTTAAACCCAACTAAATTATTCAATAGATTTCGTTAATTTCGTTAATTGGTAGGGCAATTAGTCGCCGCGCCAAGTCTGGCGCAAACGTTTCACATTGTGCGAGTCATTAATAAGTACAATTGTTTCAGAACGCCTAAACGTCCTGTACGAGAAGAACTGGACGAAGCTGGTCACCGAGCAGTTGAAACGCTTTGAGAGGGCCGTGGTCGAATCGGGTAGGACGAGTGCATCGACAGTTGCAGGAACACAGTGGACCTTTGGTGGAGCTCTTCTGTATTCCCTCACGCTCTTAACTACTATAGGTTTGTTTATTTTTTGTATATGAGGTTTTTCGTTTTGTAAGTGGGTTTATTAATTTTTAGGGTATGGCAGACTTTCTCCGCGCACTGCATTGGGGAAAATTGCAGCAATATTCTATGCACTCATCGGCGTACCGTTGATGCTGGTCCTGCTGTCGGCACTCGGTTCACTGCTTGCCGGCGGCTGCCGCCGCGTTTATTCGAAACTATGCTGCAAACACAAAGTGCCAAAGTCGTCACATTCCCACTCGGTGGTTGGCTATCACAAAGCAAGCACGGGAGCAATGTCGACTTACAATCACACCTGCAAGAGTCACCACGACGGTGTGTATGATTGTAGTGTGGTTTTATGAGCCAAAATTTCGTGAGTTTGTAATATATTCCTGTCTTTAGACTGCGCTGCGATACAGATAACGTCCTCCCAGAACAATTGCCACAACAACAAGCACATGATGGAATACCAGGATCATCTGGAGCCGCCAAAGAAAACAATTCTAGCGACGGTGCGCACTTCACATGCTCGTGGCCGATGCAGACAAATGCAGGTGCGACAGATGCTTGCTGATCCACAACTCTGCCCCACGCATTCCACCCACTCAACCCCAACTCGAAACGCCATCGGGTTTCTCACCGGAACGGCGGACATCGAAGAAGATGAAGAAGATAATGAGCAGGAGCACGGGTAATAATGGTTTCTAAGCAGTTTAAGCGTTGTTTAGTTATGTGCCAGTCTTCAATCTGTTTTTAATCTATAGAATGTGCGCACATGATACTCCATCGAGGGTGCCGCTCATCTGCCGGCAGCAGGAGGCGGCAGACTCGCTGGGGTCGCCGGCGCCGCGTTCGCTCTCATCTGCGACTCTTCGGCGCGCACCGACAGTGCCTGCGACGCTCGTGCTGCTCATCTTCGCGGGCTACGTGTGTTTGGGTGCATTCGTCTTCGCCGCGACCAGCGGTTGGACGTTTCTAGACGCAGCCTATTTTTGCTTCATAGCGCTCACCACCATTGGGCTGGGCGATCGCCTACCTCAAAACCCCGAGATGAACGCGCAGTTGCAGCTGTACGCATGCTGTGCGTACCTCTTCCTTGGTCTTGTCGTCGTCGCTATGTGCTTCAGTCTGGTGCACGACGAACTGGCTGCCCGATGTCGGCAGTTTGCTGTAAACGTGCGCCTCGTGAAGAAGTAAACTAACTAAAACTATCAAAAATATCGAATTGTCTTATCTGATAAACTGTGAATAAATAAATGCGCCACCGGCGAGCAATTCGTCGCTTTTGTGGTAATAACTATGACGTGGAATTCGTTAAACCTATTTATTTCGATCTGCCAATTTATTTCAGTTCCAACTTCAAACTATATTACTAATAAACTAGAATAAACAAGTGATGTTTGTTTTGTTGTTTATTAAATGGGACTTTTTTAAGCTGTACAATGTAGTAAGTTGCAACAAAAATATGAATCTGTGTCATTTTTATGTTTGAATTGCACAACTTTAATCCGCACCTGCAGCAATAATTCCTTGTGTGCTTTTGTAAACCATTCCTGGCATTTTCAATTGAACCAAAACAATAACATACGTTATAGTAAGATTAGATAACATAAAAATCATCTCGTGATTGATGTCAAAATATCCCCAGGCTGTGAAACGCGGACTTCTATTACCCGCCTGTTGGGCAAATATGAACAGCTTTTGTTTCATGAGGACGTTACTGCAATTGTCGTAACGTTCGAGGACATTATACGCTAAGCTGGTGGTGCGTTTACCTTCATTACCCAAACGCTCACATAAATATGCTTGCACTGATCCCATACTCTGAAATTAATAAAGGTTTCTCGGTTGTACACCACTTACTACTTACAATACTTACGCAAACATAAGCTGCCCAAGCAAACAACATGACGGTTATGTTCTCAGACGCCTTTCTATCCAGCAGGAAATTCAAAACTGCTAGAAGGTTAACCAATTCGTATAACTTGACCAACAAACTTTCAAATCCAAATACATCATTGTACATATCTACCAGATTGTTTAGTAAATTATGTTCAGTGATAATTCTCGACACCTGCTGAGGTTGCGCAGGCAGCACATCTAAAAATCCTTCTAAATTTTTATTCATTTTTATCCATCTGCAGGTTAACAAAACAATCAGAAAGAATTTCGTTGAGTACATAAAGCTGATACATTGCGATGTGTACATATCGATTACGATCGGTAATAATTGCCAGTTAATTTCTGCATCCATCATTAAATGATACCCATTTAATGTTAGTAGTACTAGAAAGAATTTAATATTATAAAGTAATGTCAATAAAGTGTACTTTTTTAGTGGTATTTTTGTATCAAGTAGAATCTCTGTGATGCTAGTTAACTTATCAGCACGATTCGTGTTATTGAATACCATCCAGGATGTAATCGTCAGGTACATCACCCAATCACATACGATCTTGAATTCGCCTCTGTAGTAACCCGTGCGATTCTGAATGAAATAAGTTGAGATCGAAACTGCTACAGTAAAACTAATGAAAGCAAATGCTGCTTTTGATTTGTTTGGTGTGAATTTGTGCGTTTTTTCGTTATAGTTCGGTAGTAAACCGAAGTAATATAGACATTTCTTAAAGATAAACAAACTGTCTACCATTTTGTCTAAACAGAAGTAAACAAGTTTAGTTGTAAATGATGTCAAGACGATGACTGCAGAAGTTGTAATGCGTTGACGCATTAAAATGAATTTTATTAGGAGTACTTGAATTATTGAATTGTTTGTTTTCCTTAACTTGGTAATATCTGTTTTTCATTAGTCGAAGTAGATCATTAGGGTTGATGTGTTTTTATTAATATAATTTAATATCATTATTATTACATGTATATGCTTAATCCTAAGTGTGACTTGTGTTTTGTTCTTCATTTGTCGGGCCTTGAATGTCCACAAGAACGTGTTTTGCATGTGCCGCTTATCAGTGTTTGTGTATAAACATAGTGTTTTATCGCATGCTGCGCTCGCGCTACAGCGTACAGGCTGCGGACGCTTCAGTCTCTTGTTGTCCACGCACTGTTCGTCACCTTGCTTTCATTTCATTTCAATAAATTTCATTAAATCTTATCGGTAATCGACGACGCCTAATGACTTTCGACGTGTAAAGTGCTAACGATAGTTTGTGCGTGAAATGATTATAAAAGTCGTGTCTTCATTTGTGCGTGTGTAGTCCGTTTATTGCAGCCTGTAGTTTGTTTGTAGTAGTGAGTGCACACATCGTCTTAACTGACGAGTTGCGGGTCCGGTGAGATCACGCAATTTTGTACCTCACCTTGTGTTTTATCAGTTTGTTTGTTTACATCCGCCAATCTCTTTGCCGTGTGAACACGAGAACTTAAGTGTTATATTCATGCAGTCGCGCCTTGTCATTCGACTTTTCTGGGAGACAGAGACAGTCGATTACAGTTCGCGAATCTGTGCGGTGCTTCTCGCGAGTCGCAATGACGAAGTGTTAATTCGGTAAATCGCGCTGTTTTCAATTCAGATATTGCTGCCATTTAATATTGGTGTTGGTGACTAAACACCTTCTGTTATCGCGTTGAACCAGCTCCATGCTGCTGCGCTAGCGTCCGAATGTTTCAGTCCGTTCTTACCTACACGCGGCTCGACACCTTTTTCCTTCAATTCAGTTTAAAGAATTGCATTCCATTTTATATTCTGGTATAAATATCGACGTAAACATCGGCACTTATTAACAAGAAGCGTGTTTAATATTTTGTTAACAATAGTTTGTGCGTGAGGCGATTATAAAAGGCTCAATACACTGGTAAGTTTGTAAATATTAGTACATCTCTTATGACAACATACATCTGATAGAGAATTTTTCAATCTTCTATAAGTGGTTGTGGCTGCTATCTCTTTTAGTTTGGAAGATATTCGCTAGCAAAAATCATCGATAAAAATTTTCTCTTATGGTTTAAAATTTCGTCTCTCAGATTTTTGCCTTAACTATCCTATCTTATAGAGAATAATCCGTAGATTAAGACGCTGCTAGATTTTTCAATCTTCTATAAGTGGTTGTGGCTGCTATCTCTTTTAGTTTACGAGATATTCGCGATTGAATAAAATTGGCAAAATTTGATAAATGTCGCTTTTAGCACTTTTAGTCGAGTTTTTCGACCTTTTACTGTAAGAAATATAATTATTTTATTTTTTTATCTGATAGAGAATTTTCCAAACTTTCATAATCAACAATTCGTTGGTAGCTATCGCTTTTAGTTAACGAGATATTAATTATCAAAAATCGTCGAAAAAAAGTATCAAGCACCCCCCCTTGGCAATTTTTTCTTAAGAATAAAAATTTCATCTCTCAGATTTCCGTTTTAACTATCCTATCTGATAGAGAATAATCCGTAGATTAAGACGCTGCGATCAGATCCTATTTATCTCTTTTAGTTTACGAGATATTCGCGATTGAATAAAATTGGCAAAATTTGATAAATGTCGCTTTTTAGCACTTTTAGTCGAGTTTTTCGACCTTTTACTGTAAGAAATATAATTATTTTATTTTTTTATCTGATAGAGAATTTTCCAAACTTTCATAATCAACAATTCGTTGGTAGCTATCGCTTTTAGTTAACGAGATATTAATTATCAAAAATCGTCGAAAAAAAGTATCAAGCACCCCCTTGGCAATTTTTTCTTAAGAATAAAAATTTCATCTCTCAGATTTCCGTTTTAACTATCCTATCTGATAGAGAATAGTCCGTAGATTAAGACGCTGCGATCAGATCCTATTTATCTCTTTTAGTTTACAAGATATTCGCGATTGAATAAAATTGGCAAAATTTGATAAATGTCGCTTTTTAGCACTTTTAGTCGCGTTTTTCGACCTTTTACTGTAAGAAATATAATTATTTTATTTTTTTATCTGATAGAGAATTTTCCAAACTTTCATAATCAACAATTTGTTGGTAGCTATCGCTTTTAGTTTACGAGATATTAATTATCAAAAGTCGTCGAAAAAAAGTATCAAGCACCCCCCCTTGGCAATTTTTTCTTAAGAATAAAAATTTCATCTCTCAGATTTCCGTTTTATCTATCCTATCTGATAGAGAATAGTCCGTAGATTAAGACGCTGCGATCAGATCCTATTTATCTCTTTTAGTTTACGAGATATTCGCGATTGAATAAAATTGGCAAAATTTGATAAATGTCGCTTTTTAGCACTTTTAGTCGCGTTTTCGACCTTTTACTGTAAGAAATATAATTATTTTATTTTTTTATCTGATAGAGAATTTTCCAAACTTTCATAATCAACAATTCGTTGGTAGCTATCGCTTTTAGTTAACGAGATATTAATTATCAAAAATCGTCGAAAAAAAGTATCAAGCACCCCCCCTTGGCAATTTTTTCTTAAGAATAAAAATTTCATCTCTCAGATTTCCGTTTTAACTATCCTATCTGATAGAGAATAGTCCGTAGATTAAGACGCTGCGATCAGATCCTATTTATCTCTTTTAGTTTACGAGATATTCGCGATTGAATAAAATTGGCAAAATTTGATAAATGTCGCTTTTTAGCACTTTTAGTCGCGTTTTTCGACCTTTTACTGTAAGAAATATAATTATTTTATTTTTTTATCTGATAGAGAATTTTCTAAACTTTCATAATCAACAATTCGTTGGTAGCTATCGCTTTTAGTTAACGAGATATTAATTATCAAAAATCGTCGAAAAAAAGTATCAAGCACCCCCCCTTGGCAATTTTTTCTTAAGAATAAAAATTTCATCTCTCAGATTTCCGTTTTAACTATCCTATCTGATAGAGAATAGTCCGTAGATTAAGACGCTGCGATCAGATCCTATTTATCTCTTTTAGTTTACGAGATATTCGCGATTGAATAAAATTGGCAAAATTTGATAAATGTCGCTTTTTAGCACTTTTAGCCGCGTTTTCGACCTTTTACTGTAAAAATATAATTATTTTATTTTTTATCTGATAGAGAATTTTCCAAACTGTCATAATCAACAATTCGTTGGTAGCTATCACTTTTGGTTTAAGAGATATTATCTAAAATCGTCGATAAAAATTATCAACGATTGTTATGCTAGGAATTGTGCTTTTTAATAACACGCGAACGCGGTGTCAGACTAAGTTCGGAATAATTTTTCCAGATGCAGAATTTAATTCTGTATCTCTCTGTATTAAAATTTATTGCAGGAAAATTCCGTAACGCGAGTTATATTGATAGTTGTGTGTATATGCAGTAGTACTCGTTGTGCTATGAATTGTAGTATTTTTTTATTAACACGCGAACGCGGTGTCACAATAAGTTCGGAATAATTTTTCCAGATTTAAAATTTGATTCTGTATCTCTCTGTATTGAAATTTATTGCGAGAAAATTCCGTAACGCGAGTTATATTGGTAGTTGTGTGTATACATACTAGTACTCGTTGTGCTAAGAATTGTAGTTTTTAGCATAGCACGCGAACGCGCTGTGTTAATATTCACGTAGTCGACCACGCTTACTTTGCCGTCGGCCGTCGGTTCGGTCATGTTTTCGAGGATCACGTAAACATTTTTAATCGAATTGCATTATTAAATTTATAATTTCTTGTTGAAATAAAATCTTAAACGGTGAATAGTTTTTTGTGTTTGCAATCTTAGTATATCTTAATATTTACAAAGAAATAGTTATTTTTATCGTCTTTAAGTATTGTGTTGCTACGCCCCGTCGCTTGCCGTCTGTTGATTTAGATTTTTCCGCCGGATATTCTATTAATTCACAATATATTAAATTGTAAGTGTTTTATTTTTGTAGCACCTTTTTGCTATTCTATTTAATTTCCGCGCGATTTAGGCGGCTCACTAACTTCGGCGCGGTGTTTAGAGATGCGGAATTAAATTCTCCATCGGGTGCTATTTGGCACCATACAAGGGCAGCGGTCGAAGTGACTCGTATTCAGGGCACCGTACAAGGGCAGCGGTAAAAGTGACTCGTATTCAGGGCACCGTACGAGGGTAGCGGTAGAAATGACTCGTATTCA